CCCCCCCCCCTCCTGGGAGAGTGTGCCCCAGCTCTGGGTCACACGCCCCCCACGCTGAGGTCTTCCTGCCCCCGGCACTGGCCCGAGGGAGCCTGCTGTCCGTCCTGCGCCTGCCACACAGCCCAGCACAAAGCCACGACCCAGCACTGCAAGGACGGAAGTCACGGTCGTGCTTGGACACCAAACGCTCCCACGTGCGTGGGATTTCCCACAAAGACACAGATGGAGAAATTAGGTATGTGGTCTGCAAAACTCAAAAGCATTTATCGTCAACGTTAGAAAGAAACCTCTTTACGATGTATAAAAAGCCAACGATTTTCCCCGCAGAAGGGAAGGAACGCTACCAGACCCCTGCTACGTGAATGAATCCTCTGCGGCAGTCAGCGTCTATTTGGCCAACACTGACTCAGACACCCAGCCGCGGCCCTTTCTTGCTCAGAGTTCTCAGCCAGTCAGAACCTGGTTAACACGGCACAGGGTGTCCGTCCTGAAAGGACGTCCGCCTTCGGAAATCAAGGTGACACGGTGCGGAGGCTGCCCCGCGCTATAAAGGACACGAAGGAAATTAATCCGTGACCAATAAAATGGAATTGTGACAAAGGTCACGAGTGGCCCGGCTCCCCCCGCACCGCCAGAACCCGCTAGGAACGGGGGGCAGCGGAAGGCGGTCCTCTGCAGGCCCCAGGACAATGCTGGCCGAGGACGGCCAGGTTCCACCGCAAGCCCGCAGCGTGGCGAACCGTCGAGACACGCGGGCTGTAGGGAATGTCCTGACGCCACCCTCCCGGTCCACGCCGTCCCAGATCCCGAGACCGGCCTCTTCCCAGCAGCCCGTCGAACGACAGCTCCAAACGGTAACACCTGATTCTCCAAGACTGAGGACCGAGCCCCAAGTGAGGTGTCCTGCAAATGAGGACACGAGCTCCGCCCTTTCTCAGAGGCACCCGCAGGGGGAAGAGCGGTAAAGGTGCCGTGAGCCCCGGGAGAAGGTACCCGTTACCCTGGCGCGGCCCAGCCCGTGCTCAGCCGTGCGCCACCCAGTGACACGCACGTCACACGCACGTGACACGCGGACTCTGCAGTCTTCGAGTGCACTTGGGACACTGCCCAGGTGAGCGAAAGCTCCCAGAACTCTCTCCACCTTCCACTCTGAGGGCAACTCGTTGTCCAGGGACACTCGAGCCTGAATCCTACCTTGGCCCGTCCTCCAGCCCTCCAGCTCCAGAAGTTTATCAGCTAAGGCACCCTCCGCCGGGCGGGTCCTCGCCGAGCCTCCCCGGGTCCTTCCAGAACAAACGCGACTCCTGGGAAGTCACATAACGCCCGAGCCTCGGCGATACCATTTCCAGGCTGTGTGACACTGTGTGAGCGACCTGATTTCTCCGAGCGCTCGCTCGGTGTGGAAAATGGGAAGTAGGCTATTACCCACATAAGGTGGTTGTGACCACTGAGGGTTTTTCCCATTCAATAACTATTTATTGAGAGCCTACTGTTCTAGAGGCTTGGGATACACCAGTTGCCAAAAAGGTAAAACAAAACAAAACAAAACAAAAAAAAACAAACAAACCTTGTGTGTGTGTTCGAGCAGGCTGACACGTGGACGGGTCAGCCCCAGGGCCTGGCACGGGTCACAGCATCGGTTGGCTCTTACTTCATTGTTTTCAACAGGTTTCCTCTTGTGGCAAATCTTGCACCCAAAAAGGTACCAGAGTCATGTCCGTTACTTCCCGGAAACCCAAGAACAAACCAGAAAACCCTCGTCCCCCAAAAAGCAAACTCACTACGATTATCTGCACTGTCCTCTCTTTGGGACATCTGTCATGATCCTGTCCAATCGCCCCACCTTCTAGCGCAAACACACCCCATCATTGGGACCCACGGTGGCCCAGGCAAGCTTCGGTCCCCGGGAGGCCTCGTGCACCCACAGCGGGAGTGTCCCTGAGCCGCCCGGTCCAAATCTCCAGCATTTCCAATTCCTGAAGCTTCTCCTGACCCGCAGGCCCCCCGTGGGCCCTCTGCCTCCCAGCCAGACACAGCCACCGCTGTGCAACGCCCTTCCGCTCACGAGGCTCAGGCTTCTCAAGTATTCTGACAGATTTCAGCGCAAGCAGATGATTCTGAAGGGAGGTCCTCTGCGACAGACCTTGGAAGCGGGACTCAGCGCCTCTGACCCAAGGTGGTGACGGACCTGACTCTCAAAGCCGGTGTCTGGTGTGGCACCCACTATTTACAGCTCACAGAGAGCCCGCGACTCTGGACGCTCCACTCTCACCCTTCCTTTGGGGGGCCGGGGCAAGGCCTCTTGGCAGGCCAGAGAACTTTTAAAAGTCATTGATAAGGTTCATTAATGTATCAAAATGTCACCTACTCAGTGTGAACCATTAAAAATTATTAGTACAAGTATTAGTAGAAATAGTCATTAAAGTGCAGAAATATCATGAGAAATATCATGGAGAAATATTCACCTTGGAGATTCACTGCCAGCCCTCACTTCCTGCTCCAAATCTCTCAGTCCTTGCATGGCAGGAGATGTGCCTATGATCTGTACCTGGGGTGCTCAGGTCAGGGCCCTGGTAAACCTCGGGGAGCTCAGGTCAGGGCCCTGGTAAACCCTGGGCATTCATGTCAGGGCCCCGGTAAACACTGGGGAGCTCAGGTCAGGGCCCTGGTAAATAAGCAAGGTGAGCTTTAGTGGAGCATGAACTTCACTCAAACATTTGGAGACAATCAGCAATTTAACCACAGAAAACATACTCAAGTGTAAGATACACTTATGAAGCTGGAGATAAAAGTCACATATATTTAAAAAATACAGCGTTTAGAGCTGTGTCCTTCTAATCCCTCGAGGGGACGTATTTCTTCTCTGCAGTGTGGAGAGAGGCACAATTCAAGACTACGAAACTGCCCAGGCTTGTGAACTGCCCCCACCCCACTTCAGGGTCAGTGATGGGACCTGGTGCTAAGTTCTCTAACAAGGGAGCCACCATCCGTGCCACGTGAAAACTGAAAGCAGTTTTCTAACTCC